GTTTGTCTTTCTGAGACAATTATTTTCACCTTTGACCATTTTCCTGAGGAACATAATTATTGTTTATGACTGAAAAAGAACACGATTCTATATCACATTTCACCCTCCATTCCTTTGTTGCTGGAAGCCTATGCTGGTTCCATATCTTGACCACTGTAAATAGCAATAAACTACATTTTCTATCAAAATCTGTTTAAAAAGCAAATACAAAAGTATTTATTTTGTAACTTCATATTTGGCTTGCAGCATTTTAAAAGCATTTGTAGGTCTTTGAAAGTGTCTTGAAAGGCATTCTAATTTTATCCCTTATGCTGCGGTAAAACCACAGCCAAAAGCAGCCTGGGAAGAAAAGGGCTTTAGTTTGCAGGTTATGTCTGTCACTGGGGGAAGTGACAGACGGAAGTCAAGCAGAGCCTGAAGCAGAAACCATGGAGGGATGTTGGCTGCTGGTTCACAGGCTCATGCTTATAGCTCTCTTATATACTAGGGAGTTCCTGCCTATGGCTGTGTTGCCCATAGTAGGCTACATCAAGACAGCAACCCTCACAGGCCAATCTCAATCAAGGACTTCCTTTCAGGTTGCTTCAGGCTACTTCAAATGGACCATTAGAGCCAACTAGGACAGAAGGGACAAAATCACGAGTTCCCTTCAGTTGGCAAGAAGCCCATTTCCGGAGACAGTTGATAGAGCAGGGCCTTGTCCTTGCTTTATAAAAACTCTAGAGACAGGTACTTTTTTATGTAAGCCTGGTCTTGCTATGCAGCCAGGCCTAGAACTCAAGACTCTCCTGCCTCAGCCTCCTGAGTGTTGCCACTATGGGTTATGCTGCACCGCTGTACCCAGTCTCTGAGACAGAGGGACGATGTGAAGTCACCAGCAGGGACCCAGGCTTTGGATAACAGGCCTGTGCCATCACCCTCAGCTTAGGCATTGCTTTAAATAGAGGCAAAATTAAAGGCAAGAAAGATCTTACCCTGACCTGAACAAGCCTGTTGAACTCAAGGAGCCCTCCAGAAACCCAAAGATTCCTTCTAATGGTTGGAAATGCCGTTTGAAGAAATGATGACTAAAAACGTCCCCATCTGATGGAAGGCATGCAATTACAGATCCGAGAAGTTTAAAAGCCAAACAGAGCTTTCCGTGTCGCTCAGGGATGGGTCCATCGGCAGCGCTGTTCTTGATTCCCATCTTAACTCAAAGGAAAACCCACCCAGTGTCCAGAGCCCTTGATGTCCTGCAGACAACAGAGCAGGGTGTCTCAAACTCCTTGCCACAGGAACCCACTTAGGAGGCACTAACCCTGACTTTCAGATAGAGCACTATATTTACAAGAGGAAAAGTGATGGTATTTAAATCATAAATCTGAGGAGGACCCGGGAGATGTTCCTTGCAGCTCAGGCTATCCTTGCCATTGGGAACCCTGCTGCTACCAGAGCGAAATCCAAGAGCTGACTGCTTCCCACCTGGGACCTTCACTCACCAGATCCAAGCAGCTTTCAGAGAGCCACGGCTTCTAGCGGTGACAGATCCCAGGGCTGAGCACCAACCCCTCACAAGGCCTCTCGAGGCACCCTGATCACCATTGTTCTGTGCCACACAGATTCTCCTTCACGCTGTGTGTGGACGTCGCCATCCTGCACAGCAACAAGGGCGCTCACTGGGTCTGATGTGGTAGATGCCGGCCCAGGAGCAATGGCGGGAGGTCATGCCTGATCTCTACTTCTACAGAGACCCCGGGGGGGGGGGGGGCTGAGGAGCAGCAGGCTGCTACGGAGAAGGATGAGACCAAGGAGGAATCTCAGGAAGTTCCTGAGTTTACTGCTGCTCAGCCAGAGGTACCAGGATAAAACCTGAGGGTGTACAGGTACCAACCCAGCAGTTCCCTGCTTGCTGGGGTCTCAGAGGTCACAGAGGTCATAGAGAACCGGGGTTGCTAATCATGCCAGGGTATCTCTTTAATGGAGGAGATAAAAATCAAATACCTGCATTCCACCCAGAAGGCTGAGAGTGGATTTGGTTAATGACCTGGTGACCTCTTTGTTATCTGTGGAGAGAGACTTCACTCAAATTCCCCAAAATGATTGTTCCAGAGTCTTCCCTCTAGACCTTTATTTTAATCTCCCAGTTAAACCCATCCTTAGGGGAGATGTCGTCTGTATTTTGTAGTCTCCTGACCTCTGTGTTCTCAGGGACCATACTAGATTCTAGGCGTTTTAGCAATAGAACTCACCCTCATAGTAACAAAGGAGTTCCTATGGAGTCACACATAAAGCTTTATTGTGCACCTGGAATTGTACTTATCCGAATGAAGTTTACCTGGAAACTTTTCTCCAAATTGTTCTGTGTTTTACATATGCTGACAGTGAACTGCCCGGAGTCCGATCCAGGTTGACAAAGTCAGTCTGCACCAGGTTTTCATTCTTCTCTCTTTGAGTGGTTTGTTTCCCTGCCTGACATCTTCAGGGACCCCTCCCTGCCCCCTCCACCCTTTCTGCCCTCCCCCCCCCACCAGCCGTTGAGGACTGGTCAGCAGCTCCCACAGTGCAGGCCACCGAGTGGGGTAGAGCCACCGCTGAGTGGTCCTGAGCTCCTCTGTAGACACCTGAGCAAACAGGGGGGTGGGGGGTGGGGGAGTGGAAGGAAAATAAAGTTCCTAAAAGCTGGGGGGGGGGGGAGCCAAACAGAACAAATGTTAAGGAAAGTGTGCCTGGGTGCCTCAGAGAAAAATTGCTGGAAGCCAGAGATCATGTTGCTTTTGCCCAGGACCTACAAGAAATGCTAGGTGGGCTGGCATGATGGCTTCAGGGTTAACACCAGCTCGGCAGGCCTGATGGTCTAAGTTCAAAACCCACAGTGGAAGGAGAGGATCTACTCCCCTAGACTGTTCTCTGATTGCCACGCACATGTGGCATACAGGTGTGCACACATAAATACAGTGATAAATCAGTACAAATTCACACGCGCCTTTAATCCCAGAACTCAGGAGGCAGAGGCAGGTGGATCTCTGTGAGCCCAAGGACAATCTGATGATCTAGATAGTTCCAGGACAGCTACTGCTATGTGGAAAGACTACTGCTATGTCTCAAAACAAAACAAACAAAAACCAAAATAACATCTATAAATTTAAAATATTTAAATAAAAAATAAAGAAATGCTAGGTGAAACTTTTCAGGCCAAAAAAATACATAGCCACAATACGTAATTTTTACAACTTGTTTTTTGAGAAGTTCACATGGTCTCTGAAAGCAAAATGGGTAACTTTGTCTTTTGATGTAGGAAATATAAATAGACCTAGCACTTACAACAACACCATAAAGAATAATGAGAGGGCCACAGCCCTGTGCCTCTGGTGCTCGGGGAAGCTGAGGCAGGAGAAGCTCTTGTTTGAAGTCAGCTTGGGATACATAGATACCCCATCTCAGAGAAAAAAAGATGAGAGGGAAATTAAGGACTCACTTGGTTGCAGCTGGTGCATCCAACTGTTGTAAGACATGGAAAGGTGGAGCTACCCACCGTGCAGCTGTGAGTGCCCAGCGCAGAGGCGTGTATGGAGGCTCAGCGCCAAGTGAGGTGGAACCCTGCAAAAGCTGGAAAAAGAAAACAAGTAATAAAATAGCCCAAATCAGCCTCAGTCAGTACATCAAATATCAGCTGATGGAGTCTGCCAAAATAAGGATCCATTAGCCCGATGAAAAGGTCAGACCCAGCCTTCAGCTGCTCATAAGAAAGGCATATTGTTTTATTTTTAATTTTTAAAAAAGATTTATTTTTGCTGGGCAATGCTGGCACTTGCCTTTAATCCCAGCACTTGGCAGGCAGAGGCAGGTGGATCTCTGTGAGTTCCAGGGCAGCCTAGTCTACAGGGTGAGTTCCAGGACAGCCAGGGCTACAGAGAGAAACCTTGTCTCAAAAACAAACAAACGAAAAAAAATTGTTTTTATTTCTAGTGCATGCCTGTTTTGCCTAGAGGTATGACTGTGTCCTGCCTGTGTGCAGCTCTCACGGAGACCAGAAGAAGTCACCCGATCCCCTGGGGTGACAGATACAAATGGTTGTGAATTATGCGGGTGCTGAACCTGGGTGCTCTGCTAGATCCGTGGCACTCTTCACCCCTGGGGCATGGTTTCAGCCCTGTGATATGCACTTTTAATGGAGAGGGTCAAGCTGAGGGTGAGCAGATGGGCAGGCAGATTGTGAAATGGCAAACACGCCCAATGAGATAGACCTCAAGGCCAAAAATGTGAAACAGACAGGCAGTGTATCAATGAATGAGTTGGATGTTTTTGGGGTGTGTGTGTGTGTGTGTGTGTGTGTGTGTGTGAACAGCCCCAGGTATCATTCCTCAGGTGCTATCCAACTTGGTCTGATAAACAATAAGACCTTGAAAAACAAAAGAGTGATAACATGATTGAACACCCCTCATTACTTGAAAAGGGAAGAAGGGTCATGTCAGTCTAGGCTAATGCTCACCTCTGCAAGGTGGTGAAATAAGCAATGATTTCAGTTTCCAGTGCTCTGATGAAGTGGGGCCATCGTTCCTCATGATGTGGTTGAAGTATGTGATGCCCCGGAATGAAGAATCTGTCACTATGTACAGTGAGTACATGCCAATAAAGTAAAGAAAATCACTACTCCTGCACCCCCAAAAAATGAGAGAGAAGAATCTGGGCCTTTGGGGTCAGACCACCTCTCTTATCTTGTGACACCCTGGGATTTGGTGGGACTACTGTTTGGGTCAGGTTCCCAGCCCCTTTACCTAATTGCAGGAAACTGAGAAGACTATGACCTTGCCCTGTTTCTATGGAGACATCTGTGATGCCACACACTGCTCCCAGGAGCCTGAAGGACGGGAGCATTGGAAGCCTGTCTTTTCTGGCTTGGACCCCTCTGAAGGGACAAGCTAAGGCTGACTTTCCCTCCATAACTGGAGCTTCGCACGGGAGCAATAGGCCTGTGCGGTCATTCAGGGTGAGCGTCTGTCTTTGGCTCCGCCTTCTCAATGAAGAAAGAGAACTCACTTGAGGAACACCAAGCACGAACTCCTCAGATCAGCAAGGGCCTGGCCCTGCTTCAGAAGATTGCTAGCCGGATCATCCAGGACCCTGACAAGAAGCTGCTGCAAGGAAGCGGTCACAGCCACTCTCAGATGCTCAGCAATGTGGCTCAGGCCCTCAGCAGCTACAATGAAAAAGTGGTAAGGACAGGGCTGGGGGAGCACCTTACCTACTGGGCGAGCATGGCCGCCATGGAGCTGGTAGCTCTCTCTCTTGCCTAAGGCCCATGGGATCTGTCAACCAGTTGAGCTTGGTGGCATGAGCCATACACAGAGCCAGGGGGGCCTAAGGACAGCAGGAAGGCAAAGCCCTGGCTGGCCTGGCCCTACTTCCTGAAGGACCATGACCTCCTTTCCAGAACTCCCAGGCTTTCCTGGAGAGGTAGCTACGGTGGAGTAGCTGACTTCCCCCTCTGCTGACCTTGGCTCCTGCTTGGTCTAGACAGCCAAGCCCAAAGAAGAAAGAAACCCTGAGCAAAGAGACCCAGTCTGTCCTGGAAGTCAGAGAGGAAGGTGAAACGGAGAGAAGGATCCCATGAAGGGAAATCCAGATGGTAGGGTCACCTGATCCACCATGCACCAGGGGAGCCTGGGAATGGTGGTGACAGGCTCCGTGACTTCCTAGTTGGGTGCTGAAAACCCAGCCAAGGGTTGTCTCTAACGTGGGGCTCCCTGGTATGCTTCCCAGCCGGCCAGGAGTGGATGAACCATGCCAGGAGTGACCTCGTAGACAGGGCCTGTGCAGCCGTACCAAAGGCACACCCCAAGCATCTGGTGTCACCTTTTCTCCTGCCAGAGCGAGCTCAGGAAACGGCCTAACCCTGCCAGCTTTGTGACAGAAATGGAAGAACTGAAAAAGGCCTTCTTCATGCGGCCTGGATGCCCCCAGTTCAGCACCAGGACCACATCTGTGTCTCATGTGGGTAAGATCTCCCCCGCCCCACACCACCAAGGGTGACTGGAGAAACTTGCTGCCTCCTGGGTCCCTTCAGCCTGTGAGGAGCCCCTGCTCATGGTTCGGAAACCTCCCATGGCAGCACAGAGTGTGAGACCTGTGTTGAGGCTGGGGGGTGGCCAGCCCTCGAGGAGAGATGCGAGAGGACAGAATTCTCCCCACTCTTGACCCTTCCTTCTTGTTTTGCTGTTAGAGTGTGGGGGTGGGAGAGGAGAGGGTTGGAGTTTTTAGAAACTTCTGTGAAGAGGCCTTTAAGACCACAGATGCCTCAGTGGGAGCAAACACCCCAAGGAGCACTAGAAGCCTTACATCTTGCACCTCCTCATTCTGCTAAAGCACAGGAGTGCAGACAAGGCCACTGGCCAGCTCAGCCGCCACCCAGGTGGACATCACTCAGGGTCAAGGCGACACCCCAACCTCTTAGCTCTTTGACCTGCGTTGGCTCCATGTCCCCAATGCTGGCTTGGGGACTTGAGTGTGAAGTTCAGCAGTAGCCAAGGGAATGGTGGGACTGTTGGGGTGGGCCGAGGAACCTCAAAGTCCAGCATGCATCCATATCTTGTATCTGTACCCATATCTTGTCCTTGGGCCCCACCATTGGTCTATGATCAGATGGGCAAACAGACAGAGGATGTGTTGGGCTGGAGCCCCGGAGTGAATACCATGACTGCATGCGAGGACTCACTTGCTCCTGGCCTCATGTTTAAAGATAGCATGACAGCCTTGGCCCTAGAGATTCCGGGACAGGGAGAACTTCTTGTCAGCTCCTGGCATCTTGCACATTCCAGGTTCTTCCACCATGGCTGATCTGCCCAAGGACCCATGTACCAGCCCTGGAACTTGGAGGACGACTGATTACCATCCCCTAGACAGGATGTCCTCTGCCACCAGTGTGGATGGTAAGGGATCCTGGAGGCTTCTGCCTTCATCTTGCTGGGGCCCTGGGTAATAAAGCTGCTCCCCGGGCCGCCTGCTGTGCCCTGGTGAAACTCTTCCCAGGGTTTCCTGCCTCTCAAAGACTCTGGACACAGGCTGCCCAGGGCCAGGCCTGCAGGTCTCTACTCCCACTGGGGGAGACACCTGCACTGTCCATTGTCTTTGATGAGCTGCAGCGGAAAGCTGTGCCCTCCTTCTCTGTGCCACTTCCAGGGCCCCTGGGCCCCGCCTCCTTGAATGGAGAAGTAGGCTTTCATTTGCCAGAAGGTGAGATAAACATGATAGTTTCAGATTATGACCTACAGTGCACAACTCCCTATAGTCTTAAAAAGGTGAAGGACCCCAAAGTCTAAAGCAAGAATCTCGGGTTGCAAGAGGGCTGGGTCATAGGCTGAACAAGGGCGGTTGTAGATGGTTCCTGCCCTGGCTCTGGGGCTCTGGTTCCTCTGCCCTGGGATCTGGGTGTAGAACCTGATGCTTGCCCCCCGGCTGATCACATGCTAAGGGGATGTGGGTAGATGTGGTAGTCCTGGGGCAGCCCCATAGCCTCTCTCCACAGGCTTCTGGTGGAGGAGATAAATGAGACTTTAAGGCTTTAACTGGGCAGTGGAAAACAGGCAGCCTACAGATACTGGCCTCTGAGAGAGGGTCTGGAGGGGGCTATCACAGGGAAGGTTCCACATCCAGACTGCCCTCTGGTCTCTGCTTGCTCCCTAGGGCGCTTCTTTTCATCCAGCAAGAGTGCTTGTGAGCTCAACTACTCAAAGAAGAAGAGTGAGCCCCCAGGCACGAGTCCCTCCAGCAGCCCAGCCATAGTCAAGAGGTCCCAGAGAAACAGAATTCCCTGGTACATCTCAGTCATCCATGAGAAGGTAGGGTCCCAGACCCCAGGGGACTGTTGTTCTATTGTCTGGCTAGCTGTGGCATAAAATGGCCTCCAGACACCCTACTTGGACTGCTAGGAATCCAATGATTCACACATACACGGGCATACATAAATGCACACACACACACACACACACACACACACACACACACACAGGCATACATAAATGCACACACACACACACAGGCATACATAAATGCACACACACGCATACACACAGGCATACATAAACACACACACACACACACACAGGCATACATAAATGCACACACCCACGTTCTGCCTTCTTCCTCATCTCAGCGTATGGCACTTTAATCTGGCACAGAACTTGCTAACACATGTGGCCACCAGCCATTCTGTATCTCTGCAACCCAGAAGCCCCTGTGAGCATGAGTTCTAACAGTCTGAGTGACAGAGACAGCAAATGCCCAGAGATTTGTGTACAAGCTGGCACATGCTGGCGAGACCCCTTCTTTCAGAAAAGAAAATAACAATAAAGCTTGTGAGAGTCAAGCCCACAGTTTACCTTGTCTCAGAGATCTGCTGAACTTGGCACCCAGGTTATTCTGGCCTTGTTTTACATTTCCAGAAGCACCTAAGCTAGGCTTTGGCAGAGTCTAGATCTGCCTGTTGTACCACTTTCCTTTCCAAGGCTCACACCCTGAGTTTTGCATGTGCTTACAATCCCTCACCTTTCTATTCCTTTTTAGTTTCAGACAGAGTCTCACTGGTTTGTTCAGGCTGGCTTTGAACTCACTACAACCCAGGCAGACTTTGAACTCGCAATCCCCTACCTCAGCTTCTCCAGTGAGTTGGGCTTGCATGTTTACACCACAGACACGTTTTGATAACTCACAGATCACACTCTTTACGAGGTAGGTGTTTCTTTCTTGTGTGGTGCCTGCAGCGGCAGCCTCCTCATTCCTGACCTCCCTCAGTCCAGTCGTGGCTCTCTTTGGTCAGCTGCCTTCCCTGTGCGAGCCCTTCTCTTAGCGTCAGCTCTAGGCTGTGCTGACTTGCCCAAGTGTGTACTGACTATCTCTGTACCACAAATCCTCGTGCTCAGGTGTGCATGTGCAGGTGTGTGTGCACAGGACAAAGGGCAACAGGGCAACGTCAACATCGCTCTGAGGGTGCTGTCTGTTCTCTTTTATGAGACAAGGTCTGTGCTAGCCCCGAGGCTCTGCTGTGTCCATCATCCCAGTGCTGGGATACAAGTATGCCCCACCTCTCAGCTCCAGCTTTTCTGTTTGTTTTGGTTTGTTGAGAAAGGGTTTCTCTGTGTAGCCTTGGCTGTCCTGGACCAGGCTGGCCTCGAACTCAGAGAGATCTGGCTGCCTCTGCCTCCCTGAGTGCTGGGAATACAGGTGTGCAGCCTGGATAAATGCTCAGCCTGGCTTTTGTTATGATGATGATGATGATGATGATGATGATGATGATGTTAACTTTAAATTATTGGCTTTAATAGAGTGAATTTTTCATCTTGATTTGACTAGTACTATATTTTTAATCAATTATTTCATGTGCATGGGTATTTCGCCTGAACGGATGTCTGTATTCTGTGTATAGGATCTATGGGGTCTAGAGAAGGTGTCAGATCCCCTGGAACTGTAGTTCTGGATGGTTGTGAGCCACCACGTGGGTGCTGAAGGTAAAACTCCAGCCCTGGAAAAGCAGCTGCTGCTCTCAACCACTGAGGCACTTTCCCAGCACCGTGTGGTTGCAGAGATCACCCTCAAGCTCTGCCGGGCAGCTCCCCAGCAACTACCCATTCTTTTCTGTACAATTCTCGAAAGCACACGGAGGAACACAACGAGACGAGGGCAAATGAGTTGCTGCAAGTCCCAGCAAGGATGAGTCCTGAGCGCTGGCGCGTGCGCTGCTGACACTCCATTATGATACACCAAGGGGTTCAAAGGCGCACCTGTCCTTTGACCTGGCACTTCCGTGTCTGCTGTGCTGGAAACAGTGTTCCCCACCCTGTCACTACTCACTTGTGCAGCCTCACAGGCCGCTCAGCAGGCCGGAAGCCTCTGAGGGAGGTCAGCAGGCCCGGCGCCCTCCAGGATCTCGGGTGGCATTGCTGGGTTGCCCTTGTGTCTTCTGGGAGGTGGTAGCTGAGTCCTCTTGTGCAGTGGCAGGAGAGTCACTCACGCCAACAAGCTTGCACCAGCAAACTCACGCCGTGCCGCCTCCTCAGCAGCCCCCGCAGGAAATGAGCCGGCTCCCCGCCCCTGCCGTCCTCAGACCACTTTAAGAGATGTGCACATGTCTAAAATCACCACAGGCAGAGTCATAACATTTGTTTTCTGGTATTGTTTTCCCACTTTATTTTGAACATTTGAAAAAACTGTAAGAGTCACACAAATAATGCCCATGCCCCCTTCGCATTTCCCAGTGTTACAGTGGTGCATGCTAGCTTCTTTCTTCTTAGTGGGTGCCTGTGTGTGGCATTTGGCTCGTGGACATGGGTTCAGGTGCCTGTAACCCAGGTGCATGCCTGCAAGAGCGGGAAGGAGTTAGGTGCCCTCTTAGGTTAAAGAAGTGGTTTCTTCTTTAACCCTCAGGCTGCACAGAAGCCTGGGCTGTTATTTCAAGTCATATGAGAGATTAATAGTCACCTTCCTTTCTAAAAAGCTTTGTCTGGGGTCACTTTCCTCCAGCCTGAAGACTCCTCTTTGATCTTTCTCTGAGTTCTTATGTGCTGGTAGATAACTGTTTGCTATAAGACATCATAATTTGTCTTCCTTGTTGAAGAACTGTTGGAATGGAGGTTTTGAGAATGGAAGGCTGGAAGGCTCCCTGAAAAGCCCTAGGGAGATACTCTTGGGTGCCCTTGCCTTAGTGTGAGGACCATTAAGAATACAGGTACCTAGAATTTCAGCCAGAAGGCTGACCAGGCTTTGGCCCTCACCTGAATGCCTTTGCACAAGGGTTTAGAATCTGCTCTCAGGAAAGATGTATAAAGGCCATGGGCACCCCAGGGCATGGCTGTAACAAAGAGCTGCATGACTTGTCTCAGGGTTTGAATGGTGGGAGCTGCTGTTGTCTGGGTGGCTGGGATGGGCCTAGCAGCCCAGCCTCTGGTTTCTACACAGGGTCTGAAGGGACTCTAGTGCACTTGAGCATGGCTCTGGCAGCCCCTGTCCTTCTCCCGATTCCCTCTGCCTTGTTAAACAACAACAACAACAAAACATTAGGTTACATTCCTAAAGCTAGCCACCAAAGTCTATTCCCTTATTTGGCCACTTCTTCTTCCTGAGGCTGACTACCAAGGTCCAGCTATCAAAGTCCAGCAATCAAAAGCCCCCTTTGGCTCACCTAATTAACATGCTCAACTAAAATTAAACACCTCATCCTAACATGGAGTTTCCCGATTTACCTTTATAAACCGCCATTTGCCTATAGTCCACATCTGTCTCCTGTCTATCCAGAGGCAGTCCTTTGTCCCCTTGCTTATCCCTCTTCCTTGCCCCTTTTCTCCCTCTCCTTTGTCTCCTCCCCCCTCTTCCTCTATCTCCTGTCTTTGTCCCTTATCCCTTTCCTGTGTCCCTCTGGAACAAGCACATCTCCTTTGGGCTAGGAACTTGGTATGAGGGTCCTGAGCCGACACCTTGATACCTTCCCTTCAGAATCACTCCCTGTTCCTGCTGGGAGAGGAACTCCAACGTCTCTCAGAACTGGAGATCCAGATGCAGAAGAAAGACCAGGAGATCCTGATGCTGCAGAAGGAGAGGGAGACCCTCAAGAGGCAGCTGAAGAGCCTCCTCAGAAGCAAAGCCACAGAAACGTCTTCAGCTTCCATCAAGACGGTGAGCCTCCCGTCAGGTGGCCCATGGGAGCGCGCAGGTGTCCCCCAAAGCTGTGGGCTCTGCTTCCTCTGTCCTCTTAGGTCTTGGCAGAGGGCTGGGCAAAGCAGGTCCATATGGCCAGGAATGGTCTCTTGATTGGTCCAAGACTTGATGTCTTTCATGCCTAATGACACCCCTGAGCTTATGTTGGGGCAGGCATTAAGTGGGAGCAGGGAGGAGTCACGGGCAGTGTCTGGGCACCTTGGGAGAAACTGCCCAAACAGATGCCTGAGGAAGAATAGACATGACTTCTGCTACCCCATTCCCCAAGGGCTCTTATGCAGGCATGGGAGGACAGGGAAGCCAGGTGAGCTACAAATGAGCATGATCACTGTGCCAAGTGTTTGCTGGAAGCTGATCTGTTGAAACCCGGAGCCCTGTTGTCCACCAAGGCTGCTAATCGGCAGACCATTGCCTTGCTCTGCTGGATGGTCACGCACCTGTACCTGGAGAGCTGACGTTCCCTTTGAGAGGAGGGAGGAGGGCCGTCCTCAGGGGCTCCTGTGGGAGCAGGTGCAGAGTCTAAGGTTCACAGCTTCATCTGACAGGAACAGTCCTTTGACATATCAATGAAGCTGGGCAGGATGAGCATGCTGAAGACCACGTACCAGGAAGAAGAGGGACAGAAGCCCTGGACACAGGTGTGCAGCCAGCGGAGGCCCAGCCGTCACCCCACAGGTCCTCCTAGCAGGACGGGTGCTAGCGGGCTCCAGCCTACAGTCCCGGTCTGTGGTGTCCTTCCCGAAGTACAGATGAGGGCAGTGGGTCAGCTTGGTCCCTGTCCTCCCCAAGTGCACAGGTCAGCTGTGTCCTTAGAGGAGGAGGCAAAGTTGCTGGCTGCTTACCAGAGTTGGCACCTTTCCCTGTACCCGTGGGCATCCGTATTCTTCTCTCTCTGTCCCCAGATGCAGGAGGAATATAGCATGGCAGACAGCAGCAAGGAGCTGCATATGGGACTAGGAAAAGAAGAGGAAAAGAGCTCCGAGGGGTCATCCATGGGGCCACTCAAGAAGGCTGTATCTCCCAAACCGAGGCCCAGCACGGGCAAGATCAGGACTGTGCTGAGGGAAGGCTTTGAGGAGGAGGAGGAAGAGGGGGAAGAGGAGGTGGAGGAGGAAGAGGAAGCAAAAGGAGCTGAGGAGGGAGAGATGGTGCTAGAGGAGGAACAGGAGATGTGGGAGCTGAAGGAGGAGGAGGAGGAGGAAGTGGTGGAAGAAGAGCATCGCCCCAAGGCCTTCTCCCTGACGGAGTCCTTCGAGGAGGAGTTGATGGCCCACCTGGAGGAGTATGAGCACATGCTGACGGACTATCAGAAAGAGCTGGAAATCACCAGGACTAGATATTCCCTGGCCACAGGTAGGAAGGGCCAAGGGGTGGATGCTGCTGGGTGTGGGTGCTCAACTCTGCTGCCTCTGCCCAGTGGGTGGGAGAGGCAGGAGAGGTGGGTCCCTCGCCACCAGGAAGTGTGACCTGGCATTCAGATAAGCCACTCAGACCCAGGGCCTAACAGCCAGTCCTCACTTCCTTGCCCTGCCTGTCTGCTCCCTTGCTCTTAGGAGCCATCACATCTTTACAACGGCAAATCGAATTCCAGGAATCTCAGCTGCGAAAGGTCACCACAGAAAATGAACTACTGGAAAAGGAACTCCGTGAACGGAAACAGCAGATACAAGCCATGACTGACAAGGTGGTGTGACCATGCACTCAGCAGCCCCAAGAGCCTGGCTCAGGGAGCACAGCCAGCAGTGCCCATAGTCCCAGCAGCCCAGGGAGCATGGCCTTCTCTAGAAACAAAGATGCCAAGTTCAGGGCACCAGCTGGTGGCAGGAGAGCCAAGATTGCTACCTGAGTATGTGGACAGCTACAAGCCATAAGCACAATGCCCTCTGTTCTTTGCTCTAGAGTGTGTGTCCCTATGTCCTGTGCCATGGTAACCCCAGTCACTTCCTAAACATTTGCTGGTCCCTGAGCCCCAGGACTATGTTTATCCACCTTTAGAGGATGCTTAGCTACTGTGTTCACTCATGCTTCTGTTAACAAATACCCAGGATAAAACATGTTATGAAGTAGAAAGATTCCTCCCAACCCCAAGCTCCTATGCAAGTGCCTCCGACAGCCACGGCTTCGCAGTTTTTTAGCAAATTCTTCAGGAAGCTCTGCTGAGGCAGCAGGTAACAGTCCACATAGTCTTCTTGGTGACAACAGTGAATGGCCTCCTCTTTCCCCGTTTCCTCATCTCTGCCTTCCGCGGTTGGGCACTCTCCTCACTCTTTGCCCTCTCCACTATCATCTTATCCCAATCTGAGCGAGAGCAACATTGTGCTGACATCATTCCAGCAGTTGCCTGAGACACACGTGACTTTCACTAAACACTGCTGCGGAGATTCACGTCACCATCCTAAGCTTCTGCGCCCACGTTCTTCTCTTTCTTGATGACGCCCTTAAGTTTTTGCGCAACACATTTCTAGGAGTTTTCCAGAAAGGATGAATGTCTGTAAGGCCTTTGGGAATGAATACCAACTACCGGAAAACGCCTTGATCCTACACATTCATAACCATCAGATTGACAGTTTAGAAGTCATTATCCCACCTTCTGTGAAGGTGACAGGATTGTAGCTTCCAGACCTGCCGGCGGGAAGTCCAAAGTAAAAAATTCTGTGTCTTAAGGTTGTCTGTTGGAAAGTGATGAGACCCTGTTCAGGGTGTCCTGAAACCGTACAGAGTTGTTACTTGCTTCTTTTCCACATAATATTTTTATTGCTTCTCAGGGAATTTCACATCATGTATCCCAGTCACATCCCTTCCCAGCCCTTCCATGTCTGCTCTCCACACTGGGCCCTCCCCTGTAAAAGAAGGAAAAGAGAAAAGTAATTTTAAAAAGAAAAAAAGAAAGTCTGCTTTGTGTTGGCTATACACTTGCTGGAGCAAGTTTTTAATGGCCTGCCATTAAAATAGAGCTGAGCTCTTCCCCTCCCATGCTGAGTTGTTCCCTAGAAACCTGAGGGGTGTTATCTCACACTGTCCCGGCCCTCAGTGGCCTTCAGGAAGTGTGTCCTATGTTCTAGAATTTTTGTTTGCATGGCTGTGCACTTCTTTGTTCTACTTTTGTTTCTGTCGCTGTGACAGAACACCCTGACAGAAAGCAACTCAGAGTATAGAAGCTTCATGTTTGCCCATGGTTCCAGGTCACAATCCCTCATGGCAGTGAAGTGAAGGCAGGAGCCAGAAGCAGCTAAAATCTACAGTCGAGAGCAGAGAGAATGAATGCTTGGATGCTCAGACAGCTCCATTTACTTCTGCACAGTCCAGGACCCCAGCCAGGGCATGGTGCGGCACGGTGTGGCCTTCCGTCAATGAACACCCAAGACAACCTCCACCCAGATGTGCCTGCCCAGGCACACCCAGATGAGACTGACAGGGTCTCTTATTCCTCTTCAACTTGTTTCCCTGGGGGCTGCCTGGAATCTCACTTTTCAGCAGAGGACACTGTCATCCCCAGGGTCCCCCCTGGCCAGTTTCCATAGAGTCTCATCTTTAGGGTAATCAAATTTCCTTGAAAGCTAGGGAACTGGAAGAGTGTCTTAGCTAACCAATAAAGGCTTCTTGCTTTGGGTTCTGGGCCTGGAGGCAGGAGGTTGAAAGTATCTACAATTCATCCTCAGGCCTGAAACTGAGTGGTCTTTACCAAGGCTCTTGGTACATCTGTCTTGGGTTAGGTCTGGGAGTTGCTGAAGGAAGACCTCAGACTCAGGTTGTCTGCAAAAGCAAGGAGCGTTTATTCTGCAGAAATTGCCAGCATGCTGGGGCCACCATTCCATAGAATGGCAACTCTGAAGTGAGCACCAAGCTCACTTTAAAGACAGTTAGGGGGTTTCCCTAGTGTGATTAGGTAATTTTTTATTGATTGGTTGGTGCGGATCTAGGGGATGGTTGCGGGGGGGGGGGGGGTCCTTCATGGAGTGTCCAAGTAACAAAGAGTGCTAACAAAAAGTGCCCAGGTAATAGTACCATTTTTACTAGCTAAGCAAAGCATTTCTAACAAACTTTTAGTTTGATTGGTCAAGTGCTTGGGCACCTTTCAAGGCAGTTATTAGGGAGATTATTGAGTTATTGTATCTTGTTTCCACGGACTGTAGTTTTGTCTTTTGAGATATAGAAACTTCAGGCCTGTTCAGTCTGAAGCCAGTTTTGAAGCCTCTCATGGAGTCAGACTGGCTTATTTAAAACCAGTCCTCTCACTTGGATCCGCAACGTCAGACACCACCCAGTGCTCTGCTTCTATGTCCTGGGACCCCTTGTCTTCTCCCACATCTCTCTGCCAGAAACCCACAGCTTTCATTCCTGGGAAGGCCAAGGAGGCAGGTTGGGCATCTGTGCTCTGCCTGTCCTGGACCCGGGAGCCAGGCTGACCCCACTGTCTGCCCTGCAGTTCTCCAGCCTCCGTGAGGAGAAGAAGCATCAGGAGATGATGGGGCTCATCGAGAAGGAAAACCTCTTCCTCCGACAGGTGACAGCCCGGGCGTGTCTGAAGGCCGGGCAGGGCTACCATCCTTGTGGGTTGGGAAACCATGACGGATAGAAGGTGGGCTGCAGGAACATGAGGTTGGGAAGAGGTGGTACAGATCACACAGGAGCAGCTAATGCTCTACCCTTCCTGGTTCCCCGCAGCAAGTGTCTGACTTGGAGGCAGAGGTCACCAAGGACGAGCAGGCCATTGCAGAGCTTCACAACAAAACCAGGGAGCTGCAGGCTCAGGTTAACCAGGACAAGGACCAACTGAGGCGGTGGAAGGAACTGCATGATGACCTCCAGAGCCGGAATGAGATGATCCAGCAAGCGGAACAACAGACCCGTGTGGTTCTGGAGGGTGCTCAGATCAGGGTAATGCCCACCCTTGCCTGCCACCCAGAGGTCAGGTAGCATGTTTGTGGCTGCCCACATTCTTACCCACCACCCAACCCACACAGACCACGTGCCCAGTAGACAAGGGTTCTGGCTCATTCTGCCTCAGATTGCACTCAATGTTTGGGAAATTTCAGGGGAGTGGTGAGGGCTCATGGAACATTCTGGAACACAGCGGGCAAGGGCTAGCATTGTTCATGGAGCAGGCCTTGGGCCCAGCTAGAAAAACAAAAGGTGGGAGGGAGGGTGATTGTATCCATGTCTGTCCTGCCTTCATCCTGCCACCTCCCTCCTGTTTCTCCAATGTTTCTCCCTTCCTGCTTCAAGTCCTCTTATCTTTTCTAAATTGCCTTAAAAAAATAATAACTGAGTCCAATTAGGACTGCTGGTATGCGAACATGAACAACCTGACAGTGCCTACCCCTCGAAGAAAAGCGACTGCTTCATCTCCATAGCTCCTCAGCTAGGGGTGGGAGCTCAGGAGCCCACTCCTTTTCATGCTGGAATTTGAAAAACAATCATCTGTACGTGTGTGGGTGTGGTGGTGCAGGCAAGAGCAGGTGCCCGCAGAGGCCAGAAGCCTCAAATTCCTGGGAAGCCGGAGTTCCAGGCAGCTGTAAACACCCTGTGTGGGAGCTGAAGTCTTGTCGTCTGTGGTGGTGTCAGTGAGAATGGCCCTCGTAGGTGCAGGTGTCCCCAATTGATCCAACTGTCTGGGAAGGGTTAGAGAGTGTGGCCTTGTCGGAGGACAGTCTTTGAGGTTCCAGAAGACTCTTATCATTCCTAGTGTCTTCCTCTCTTCTTCCCACTTATGGGTCAAGACGTGTGTATGTTACAGGCCTGTGCGCCACCATCATGGATTTCAACTCTCTAAACCCTAAGCTCCACTTAAACACTTTCTTTTGTAAGTTGCCTTGGTCATAGTGACTTACCGTATCAATAGTAAAGGTAACTAGACCGAATCAGACTCAGATCTTCTGCAGGAGTGCTACAGGCTCTCAGCCACTGACCCATCGTGCCCGTGACAGTCTGTGCTGGAGTTTTTAACTGCCTTGACCCTGTGTGGTGAGCACAGCTGTTGGGAGTTCCTGTATGCGACGGCCGACGGCCAAGACACACCCAGAGGAACACTGCACAGCCCTCTATCTTCTTTCTTGAGGAGGAGCATTCTGACTATTCCTACCACAGGGGGGAGCCGGAGCAGAGAGGATGGACATCCAGTCCTGCTTGCAGGTGAACTGGGCCTGGATCCTCCCCTTGCGTTGCTGCGGTGCCCTGAGTCCAGTGCACAGATGTATTTGCCAGGAACCCAGGCTGCAGGAGAGAGTCAGTTCATCGCTGCTCTTTTTTTGGAGTCCAGAATGAAGCTAAAGAGAAAGGTTGTATGCAGGCACAGGCTCTAGAAAGATCTTTAATTCCTAACCACCCATGTGCCAGGGCAGGCAGCTTACTTTGGCTCTGTCCTCTTTTCTGCTTGAGTCACCCCTCCTGGCCATCTGGTGTCTGTTAGGAAACCGTTCCTGATCCCACTGTGTCCTAGGGACAGCGCTGGCCTAGAGAAGGTGTGTCTTGTATCATTTGCTGTTGTGTGTGGCTATGGTAGAGTCTCTAATTCAGAGACCGGTATCTGCAGGGGAGGGAAACTGAGGCTGGACACCTCTTGACCGGAGGCAGCAGCTCCGGAATAGAGTCTGATCCTGCCGCCCTCTGGGCTCACTGGGTATGTGGTGTGGTACTTGATACCGAGTGGGCAACCAATAAACACTGGAAAGAAAGTAGAGGCAAGCAGGTCAAGAGTTCCAGGCTAGCCTCAGCTACACAGGGAGCCCCAGATGAGCCTGGACTGATAAGACCTGTCTCAGGGGCCTGCAGAGATGGCTCAGCAGTTAAGGCTTCTCTTTCAGATGACCTAAAGTCAGTTCCTAGCACCCACACTGGTGCACAAGCCACTGTGAACCCCATTTCCAGGGGCTCTTACTCCCTCTTTTGGACTCAGAGGCCACTAGCATGCAGGACACAGACAGGCTGGCAACCGTTAAAGTAACTTTTATTAGCCTGATTCGTTATGTGGGAGGCTTACTGCTTCTGCCTGCTAAACTAGGGCAGCTGTTCTGGTCCAAACTCCTCTTAGCTGACTGATTCAATCTGGTTTCTCTGAATTGTTCTGCTTGGCCTCAAACTAACTCTAGCAACCTGTTGTAATCTTCTGGCTCCTCATTCTCTGGCTCATCCTGTCTTCACCTGTTTGTATAGCTTGTTCTCTATTCAACCTGTCTCTGGAAAACTCTCCTGATAAAACTGCCTCTGAATTCCATGAACTCAGCTCCACTGCACTGCCTCTCACCGCCCTGATTCAACCCACCTGACTGCACAGAACTCTACGATTCAGAGGTCTGCAAGCCTCTGTCTCCTGAGTTCTGGGATTAAAGGTGTATACCACCACACCTGGACCTAAGCTTTTCTTTACCTGAAGCTTGCTCTATGCTAGGCTGGCCTTGAACTCTGTGCTTGCCTCTGTCTCCTGGGATTAAAGGCGTGTCTGTATTTCAGCCAGATCACACAGACCTAGAAGGTCTTTGGATGGGATCTCTTGCCAGAGCAGCTACATTCTGAATTAAAATTTTTTACAGGCAATACTCTCATATACATGAAATAAAAATAGATAAATCTTAAAAAACAAAAAACAAACCCTGTGTCAACTGTAACATCAGAAAGAAGGAAGATCCCTTCACTTGACCCCTGGACATTGGCTGGATGACAGAGACCCAAGCTTAAAGACACTGACAGCACCAACATCTAGAACACCTGCAGGATGACCGATAGGGTGACCACTACGATGACCCCCTAGGAGCTGGTTCACAGCAAAGCTGCCTCAGGAGGGAAGGAAGAAGGGTCATATGCCCACAGGCAGGCGCCCAGGGCACTTGGAAACCAGCCACCTGCTTCTGGGAGAACATCCTGGAGGGCCAGGAGGAGGTGCTGACTGGGGAGGAGGAAGCCGGCTTTAGGGGTCAGGTACAAGTCTGACAAATGGTACAGGTACCATTTTGATTAGATTTTATTTATAGTTTTTCAATGTCACAGGTGAGTCCTGTGCTAAGCAGACCAGAGTGAAAACCACTCCTGGTCTATGTTAAAAATTATGTTACATCTGTTCCCCCTCTGTCTCTCCTTCTCTCTGTCTGTGTCTCATGGAGCATGTGTGGGTCAAAGGTTAATTCTGCGGAGTTGGTTCTCTCACTATACAGGTCCCAGGGATGGAACTCAGGTCATCAGGCATAAGAGCAAGTGCTTTTACCTGATGAGCCATCTCACTGGCCCCATGGTTGTTTTCTGATTGTCAGGGTCTACTGGGTGGGTGTGTGCCCCCACACGCACACATGTGTGTTTAATACATACTGTAGATAAGAAAGTGATTTGTGTCAATGACTGACAGTCTCCAACAAGGGCTGGGGTAAATAGTTAAGAGGCTGAGATGGGCCAGGAGAGGTACTCAGCCATTAAGAGCACTGGCTGTTCTTCCAGAGTACATGGGTTCAATTGCCAGCAACCGCAGGGCAACTCACAACCCTTAGTCCAGTGGGATCTAATGCCCACTTCTGGCATCTGTGGGCATTGCATGGAATTGGTGCACAGATGTATGCATATAAAATAAAATTAGAGTAAAACAAAGAGGCTGAGGTCTTCAGTTGCATCCAGAAACAAAAATTTTAAAAATGATTTTGTCTATGTGTCACTCTTAGTTTTTTAAATTATTTCTTTTATATGTGTGTGAGTCTGTGAGTATGTGCCCGCAGAAGCCCAAAGAGGTCATCAGATCCCCGGAAGCTGGAGTTAGAGGCAGCTGTGAGTCCCATCAGGTGCTTAGGAAATGAGCTCAGGCCCTCTGTAAGAGCAGCAAGTATTCTCAGTCACGGAGCTTTGTCCCAGCCCTGAGCTGGGAATACATCTCAGTGGCAGAGCGCTTCCCTCGTTAGCATGTGAGAGTCTCTTGTTCCAACTGGGGAATGGTGGTGCACTTTTCTAGTTGAAAAACATAAAAATAAGTATGTTGGTATGCTCAAGCTTTTGGGTTTCAGTGTGGGGCCACCCAGAAACTGGGGTGTGATCCAGAACATTCTAGCCCTTTGGCAAGTCTTGTTTCCAGCCTTGGCAAGCAGAAGCAAAAAGCACCTTCCTGGCCTGCAGGGCTTACTGTGGCAGGGCCAGGCAGTGCTCTCCGTAGCAGCAGGCAATGACTTTCCCTTTGTTCGCAGCTTGAGAGGATGAGGAATAAGATCATCCAGGCTGTCTACAGTGTTAGTGGGACCAAGAACTCGTCCATTGAGCTGTCTGACAACTACATCCTGGATTCCCTACAGGTGAGGGGAGTCAAGCTGTGTCCCCACTGCCCACTGTGGAGGCTGAGACAGGAGAGACATGGGCTCAGTTCAGAAACCCGGTTCTTAGCCTGGCTATGCCACCCATGCGTTGTAACCCCAGGACTGCCCTTCTCAGCTTAACCAGAGGGGACCAGGCTACCCCTTAGGGATAGCTCTGGCATGAAGTTGGAGAGACTGAGCTGCTGTCAGCCTCATGGATCCAGGAGGGGTGCTCAGCGACCCCTAATCTCCTCCCTGCATGAGGAGTAATCTCCTCCCTGCATGGGGAGAGAGACAAACCACCTGCATTCTGCAAGTTCTGTGCCAAGCTCAATTTCCTTGGTGGAGCCCCTCCATAGAAGCTCCTGGGCCAGAGTCCTGGCACAGATGCCTGCCTCAGCCTTGCCAACTCCTACGGACCCAGAGGCCCCCAAAGCAGAAGCTTTAGAGAGGCCTGAGGCAAAATTACCTAGGCTCTGGTGCCAGTGGACTACTGTAGTCACCGCCCACCGGCCCTTGGTGCTAATCCCGGGGCTCTCTGTTTCTCTGAACTGTAGGGCCTTTCCTGTATAAGGGGGATGGACATGCCTACCCTGAGGTGTAGGGCACCAGAGTCCTGGGGATCACTGAGGTGACAGGCTGCTCTGGTTGGCCATGAGCCGCACAGGATCACATCTCATTAGCAACCACTCTGTTCCCAAGTTCTAGACCTTCCGTAGCCTTGCCGTGTGAGCCCAATATGCCCTGTGGCTTGTGGGGAGGGAGCCTGGGTCACTGCCACCTCTGGAGAGCTGGACCCTGGGAACAGGCCTATGGCCTTGTGTCTGATGGGGAGGGAAGAGGGACAGAGGATGGAGAAGATGCCTGAGGTCCTGTCCTCCGGTAGGAGTGAGAACATCGCTGGTGAGGGTCCAGACTGCCCCTCTGCGCTAGGCATGAAACAGACCCCCTCCTGGTCTCTAGGCATCTAAGGTTCCCTTCATGTTGACCGAAGCAGTGGGGTTAGTGAAGGACAGGTGTGAGCTGACTCCTGGAACAGCAGAGTCTCCTTCCACCCTGCCTCCTGCCATACAATCTCTGAGGCCCCACCACAGCCCTGGCAGGGACTGCATGCTCCAGATGGAGACTTTTGCCGTTGTTCTGGCAAGTCCGGGGGGGGGGGGCCTGGGAGACCACCCACAGACTATGTTTCTTGTCCAGAAAATCATCACGGAGAGAAGTGACTTCTACAGCCAGCTGAAGCAAAAGGGCGTGAAGGTGCCCCCGCTGCAGCAGTCTGATGTCTTCCTGTCCAAGACCAAGAAGGCCCCCAAATGATGCGGCCTGCTCTGCTGAGGCCAGGGCTCTGCTGGCGAAGCCACCCTGAGCGGCCTGTTCTGTGATAGAATTAAACCTTAGAGTTGGCCACCATCGTCACACCTCTTTCTCTGGCACTTATAGGACCTCATCCTCTGCAACCTGACCTACCTGGGCTGTGTCCTATCCCACAGCTCCCTCTCCTGGGCCTGTCTGTGGGGAGATCCACATCCCCAGGGTCCTCTCCCAGGGTTCTCCTTTCGGAGGGCCAGAGACTGGGTGCCCCCAGGCCCCTTTAGACCCAACACTTCTGCCTGGGGCATGCTCTTGCTACTGGGGACAATTTGGAAGATGGAGAAAGGGTGGGATACAGTAGGGTAGCTGGTAGAGGTGCCGAGGATAATTCTTCCCCGCCCTTGGGCTCCTGCTGTCTGTGCCACGTGCCTGCTCAGTGTAATGCTCATCTGCTGCCCTTCGCCCACATCTTGCGCACACGCTTTTCACTGCAGCTGCCCAATTGCAGCTGTCCGAGCAACAGGCGCCACCAATTCAAGAGGGCCATCTCTGTCCTTCATCTGAGCACCCCACCCAGCCTTTCTCCGAACTCCTGCCCGGCTCTGCGAGGCTGGGCAAGGACCTGGCGCCCTCTGCAGGCCTCTCCGGTGACTCGCACGGTTCTGCAGTGGACGGGGGGGGGGGGCAGCCGTAGGGGTCCGCCCCTCCCCATCTGGACTTGGCCTTCCCGGCTAGGCCTCCCTCATCGCGGTCCTGCCCTTCAGACCCCGCCCCCAGCCTCGCGGCCCGCCCCCGTCCCCCTAGGGGCTGGAGACGCGCGTCCCTGCCGAGCGCCGCGGCCCTTAGCCGAGGGGCACAGGTGAGAGCGCTCGGCAGATACGGACTTCAGCTTCCCGCGCGGCCCACCGAGGTGGGCCTGGCAGCACGTCCCCACCACTCCGGGGTCCGCCGGGGCCAGAGCTTCCCTGGCCGGAGAATTCCGGAGTGGGAAGGGCTAGGTAGGCCTAACCACCGAGGGCTGTCAGGCCCGGAACTGCCGGCCCAGCTCTTGTCGGGGCGAGGAACACCCTTGGGGCCAGTTCCTCCCTTCCCTCTGGCGGGCTGCGCCTCTTCCCACCTCTGTTTTCTTTATTTAAGGCTCGAGGCACCCACTCTACCTCACGTCCTGGTTTGCCCTGCTGAGGGAAGGTGGGATCTACTGGCCAGACCCTGACAGCCTTCCCCAGCACCTGAGGCTTCAGCCCCACCACGACTCGCCTTTGTAAGTTGGGGTCTCGCAGGTGCTCTGTGGGCAAACAGGTCTAACGAGCAGCTGCAGGTTGGACTCCTGAGGGCGCAGCTCATCAGGGGAGGCTCTGGGTTTGAAGGGGCCTTGTTCGCCCTTCCTACTGTCTGATGGTCGGACAGATCAGAGTGAATGAAGTCCAGGAGGGCCTGGCCCAGGAGCTCATCTGATGGCCTGGCCAGCCGGAGATGGTTGGCAAATAACAGGATCCCACTACCTCAGGCGTGCACAGACTGGGGAGACTCCCCCCTGCCCCGAAGTCTACAAGAGGGCAGGTGGCGCTGTAGGTTTAGAGACAGCCCTGTCAGGGTAAGTGCTGCACAGCAGCTGCATGTAAGCATAGAAACGCACAAGCTCCCTCTCCCTCTGTTCCACCGCACCCGCACCTTGCCCACAGCTGGTGACATGACAAAGGAGGGACTGGGGTGTTTATCTTAGTCTAATGTGGCCGCCACATTAGGTTGGACTGAGTCCAACAGTCCGCTGTCCACCTAGAGGACGCGACAGCCTTGTACAGGCAGCTGGCGGACTCTGTATGGCACATTCAGCCCCACAGGTCACTGCAGGCTGCTAGCCAGGGCCTCCACCTGAAGACAAGGACGGCTGTTAAGATGGTGCTCTTCTTCCTCCCCCAGCCTGGCATCCTGAGCTTCTGCAGGCATTTCCTGCAGCCCGGCAGCCCGCAGTGCCTTTAGGCCACAGTGTTCAGGCTTATTCCACTGCCTCAGCTGCTGGGAGACAGGGTCCTGGAGCTGGGTGCCATGAGGGGACACGGAGTACCTGCTGCCTAGCCTTATCCTTATCTCACAGCTTGTCCTTGTAGTGTGTCCTGTGCCCCTTAAGTAAACAGGAGCTAACAGGAGGGGTCAGAGGGTAAATGAGATGCTAAGCCAAGCGTCCAGTGTAGGCTTGTGGGTAGGCAGGAGCATCCATGCATGGCAATGTGGTCACTGTGTCTCCTGCCAACCCACTGTCAGTTCTGTTCAGGGGTGGCTGGCCCTGAGGGGGGCCAGGAATAGTTTTTGGTAATAGAACCCTTCTGCTCTAGGCACACGTGTCCCTACTTCCAACCAACCTACAGCCTGTGGAGCCCCCGGGCCCACAGAGGCCTTACTCCAATCAGGGGCAGCAGGAGGAGGGGGCTGCGGACAGCTGCTGCCCTGGCCTCCTTCCTGGCCGGCTGGGCTGGCCGTACCAGCCACCAGCCACTGCTCATCCCTCCCCTTGCCAGCCTCTCTGGAGGGCAGCTTCAGGCCTTATCTGCAGGGCTAGGGAGCAAGAAGTTATCAGGTCGCTGGCAGCCAGACTTTCCTGGTCCTGGGGGCTGCACTGCTGCCTCCCCTGATAAATGTCCCACCAAGGAGGAGAGTAGAGGAGGCCCCAGTTGGAAGTGCAGCCGCTTACATTCCTGAGGGTCAGGGCTGGGCCACCACCCTGTCTCCTGGGGCTGGAATTCCTTCCTTATCTGGTTCTTCTGTTCTGACCCTGAGCTAGTTTCTAAGAATCCTGGTAAGTCCCAGCCCCCTCTGTGGCAGACTCTAAAAAGGGCAGCTCTAGCCCACCTTCTATGGGTCTGCTCAGATACCTGCCTTTTGTCCACACCCCAGGCCTACAGCATGCAGTCCCAGGAGAGTGGTGTCCACTACAGCAGGTGGGATGACAGCAGCCGGGAGGAAGTCAGCATGACCGCCATGTCCAGCGCAGAGGAGGCCTCCTGTTACAGGAGGTAAAACTTCAACCAGCCTGTGGTCCCCATTGTACTGCTTCGCTCTGTCCAGGCCCAGCCCCTGTGGCAGCCCAGCCAGGTGCCCACAGCTCTGGGCATTACCTCTGGGGTAGGCAGGTAACTCCCAACTCCAACAGCACTCAGGCCTCTTTCCGGTCAAGCATTTTCCTGCTCTAGCCACCCTCTCCTGCACAAGCCCACTCAGCTGCCCTGGCTTGTGCTCACTGGTGATTTTTCACTCTAGGCTCTCCCAGAAGCTGTGCTCTGGCAAGCTGGGGATGGCCATGAAGGTGCTGGTTGGAGTGGCCCTCTTCTGGATCATCTTCATCTCGGGCTACGTCACTGGCTACTATGTGCACAAGTGCAAATAAACGCTGCCTCACTCCCAGCCCTGGGGATTCCCTCCCATGTACACAGACCTTTTGTACGGACACTCCTCCATGTACATACCCCAGGCCACGTGGAGATGCCAGTGTGCCAGTGTGCACTGTCAGTACGGCTCCAGCACACAGGGTGGACCGGCTGGGCTGCCAGCGGAGGCACACGTGCTGGAGACTAGGCTCAGCTCCAGCTATGGGGCTCTGTGCTCAGAAGCCTTTGGGCAATGCTAGGTGCTATCTTCACCAGCCTAGGGCACAGGTCAGTCCCTAGATGAGGCTGGGATAAAGACTGGTTTGTGTAGAGGGGCACCTGACAGCCCTCAGGGGTGGGGCTCCTCCCTGTGGGCAAGGCTCCTGGTTCTCTAGGCCTTCCAGATTCCTGGTTGTGCAGCGAGGGCCCTGAATAAGGACTGTGTTTCACACCTACGTTTTCTAGGGGAGAGAGACAGGGCCTCTGACAAGACCTCTCTGTACCCTGCAGAGAAGCTGGAAGCTGGGTGTCCTGCCGGCTGCTTCCTCACAAGTCCCTGCTCCTTAAGGAGCCTTGGAGATAAACCATTGCTGAAGAACAGTGGGTGACTGACTGCCCCTACAGAGGTGCCCCGCCAGGCCTGACTTGCTCCAGGCCTGACCCTTCTCCACAGCAACTCCTGTTTGGCTCCCAGCCTTGGAATGTGCCCCCGCCCGGGTCCTCTCCCAAGAACACACATAGACCTGTGAGGACAAGGCCTTGAACACTTGAGGGTGCTGTGGTCCCTCCCCAGTGGCCCATGTAGAACCTGGACCACACCTGGCTCCTGTGTGCTGTGAAATGGTCCTAGGCTTGTTGGCCATGGCTAGAAAATTTTGAGGTCTGTAATCTGGGATGAGAAGGTGGAAGGCACAGGGGCAGCTGGTCTGTGGCCAGAGAGGGGAGGCCATTCAGTAGGTGAGGAGTGCCACAAGACTGAACCCGTTGCTCCCTGTCAGGAAGGCCCCCCCCCCCCCCCCCCGTTTTGGTTTTACCACTGACAAGCTGAGTGGCTAGCCAATCTGGCCAGGGAGGACAGGTATTGCTGGCCACCTCATCCTAAGAGCTCTTGGTTCGGACTGTCCTGAGCTTCAGTGGCCCTCGTGTGGGAGTTCGCAGTGGAGTTGTCCCAACTGGCCTAGATCTCTGTACTAGAAGTCAAGGCCTCAATTCTGACATCTCTGCTTCCACTCCCAGGCCCTAAATGATAAATGAGGTAAGATGGTGGAGTGGGACCCATCTGAGCCATCACAGGACAGGCCTAGTATGGCCCTTGTCAAGCATAGGCCATCCAGGCCTGACAGTCCCTGGGGCAGGAGCAGGTGTGTGGCTGGACAGTGCAGACATGGCTGAGCCAGGAATACAGGGTGCAGTGGGAAATGGGACAGGGAGAAGCAGGTGCATTCCATGTAAGGGAACCAGCTGAGGAGAGGAGTACCCAGGTCTCTCCTGGCAGCCCTGCACTGCTGAGCTGACAGTGGGGGTGGGCGCCTAGCAGTGCCCTGCCCTCCAAACTGGGCCAGTCCTCCCAGCCCCTCCTGGCGGCTGTCCAGTGTCTTCAGCCTGGAGCTCTGGCTAGTGGTCTGCAGGGAGCTGCCTCAGTGACCCCAAGGTCATGTGTGAGTCAGAGCCAGGTGGGGATTTAGGCTGTTTCCCCATGTGTGGCAACTGTAACACACCCCTGAAAAAAGTGGCAAGGCTGCTGGGGTGCAGAGATGCTGCTACCAATGGGTTTTTATTAGTTTTATTAAAACAAAGGGGCGCTCTGCTTATATCTGTAAAATCAGTTCCAAAATCCGAAGGTTGTCATGGGCTGTGCTAGAGGAACAGCAGGAACTAGGGGCGGGGGACAGGATGGGCACAGGGCAGCGCCACCCTTACACACTTTGGTGAAGCCACACAGTGGGAAAACTCTTGCCATGGCCACTCAAAGGGACCTGTGAGCAACTGTGTCTCATGGAGCTCTGGAAAACACCTACCAGCTTTGTCCAGGACACTCCCAGGAGAGGCCTGGAACCTCACTGGTCTGACAACTAAAGGCTCTTGCACAGCCTCAAAACAGAACCAAACTCCCAAACAGCAGGCCCAAACCCAAACCATTGTTCTTTTAAAGAAGATAGAAATTGTCCTTTGGTCAAAGACCACCCACGAGAAGATGGTGTCAAGTGGAAAGGCTGGAGGGCTGGTTGTCTGCTCCGCCAGATGCTAAGGCATGGGGCCAGGGAGGCCCCTTTGCAGCTGGCTGGTTCTTAGGACCAAGCGCTCTGGCTCCAGGGATGGCAGGTGTGTGCTGGGAGCATGGCCACAGCTCCATGCTAGGAAGGAAGCTCGAAAAAGACTCAGATCACAACATGATGTTCCTGCACAGATGATGTTAAAAAGAGCTAACATGTTGTAGAAAAATAAACCCTGTTCAACAGAATGCCTGAACTCAACGTGAATTTACACTGCACGGCCAACCAAGTGCAGGGTCTTTCCTACGTTTTCTGACGCATGATTCCGAGCATTTCCAGCAGTTATCTCAACGATCCATGAGAACAATAGACAGAGAATCACATTAGTGCTGTAATGATACACAACTCAGGTTACAACAGTCACCCGGACAAAGCAGACTCCTTAAAGTACCCTGGGAAAGGAACGAAGAACAGCCACACTTGCCTACAGCACACCCGCAGGGCTGTCAGCGAACCACAGTCACATGGGGAGGGACGGCTAGCAGGTCGGCCTTGGATGGGTACACCACCTTCAAACTCCCCTCCAGGTCCACCACCCGGACCTGCTCCACCACCAGGGGGCACTGTCCATCCTTCCCAGCTCTCAGATTCAAGTTGGGATCAGAAAGCCCACAGCTGGCATCAGCCTCCGTTCCCGAGAGCACGTCTTCCTCTTTATTTTCTGAGGTGCTTCTGCTCAGTTCTGCCATTCTCTGCAAATGAAGATAACCTTTTTAACTGGGAGAGAAGGGACCCAGGGAGTTGGCTGCAGTAACCCACAGAACGAACAAACAGCAGGGTGGGAACACAAAGCTGCCCCTCATGCCAGGATCTAGGGCTGGGCTAACTTACCAGGATGAGGTTGTCCATGATGTCCTTACAGAGCTGGAGGCTGGTGGCACTGGTTACTTCCAAGAACAAGTTGCATGTTGTTTTCTTAATCTTAAGAGTCGGATTTCAGAAAAGAATAGTTATTGGTGTTTGGACACCGGCCGCTCAATGTATTCAGAAGAGAAATCTAGAAGCAGAGTTACACAGGGCTGGAGGAACGGCGTGCTTGCCTCGTATGTATGAAGCCTTGGATTAATCTCCAGCAAGGCATAACCAGGCATGGTGGTGCCTGCCTGTAATCCTAGCATCAGGGACAAGGAGACAGGAGGGTCAGAATAATTCATGCTGGTTCTCAGCTTACGTAACAAAGGCCAGTCTGCTTCAAAACCAGAAACCTGTAGCAGAAAGGTCCCCAGCCCTCTGCTCTGCATGTCTGTCACTCAAAAGTGGATAGCTGGGTGGTTAGCACTACCTAGAGGGCACGGCTGTAACTCAGACACTGCCTACCTTTGTCTTCTCACTGTTCGTTATAGGTGGGAAGGAAATCACATCTCCCTCCGCATCCACAAGACATGGGTAGTTTTCTTTCCCGTCCAGTAGGTGAAGGTACCTGTGTGGGAGGGAATCCAGGTGACAGGCACGGTGTGAGCCGCCAGGGAAGCTGAGCAGGGGCAAACTGCAGACGAACTAGGTGCAACGTCAAGTGTGCAAGCCTAAGTGTGCAGTGATGTGACCCCAGAGCGGCCTCACCCTGCATCCTCAGCCGCCCAGAGATCCTGGAGGCAGAGCTCAACAATCCTCACCCCAACGTGGAAAAGCCGACAGCTGCCTAGAGCAGGAGCCCCCAATGCAGCCTGGTCCTTTCAGGAGCGGCAGGAAGAAGTCTGGGGAGATTCCCTCCCCATCCAGTTATGTTTTTGAGCTTCTGGCAGCTACCGAGGCTGGCTAAGGTACTGCTGGTTGGTGCTGGGTGGTGTGCAGACCTCCTGTACACGCCAGCTGACTGACCTGTGCAGCCCTGAGACGCTCTGCCTCTTCTTCTGTTTTCTCTGCTCCTCAGCCTCCAGTTGCAGTTGCCTCACCAGCTCCTTGGCCTTGGCTTCTCTCCGCCCCAAAGGCACAATCTGCAGGAGCAGAGCCCACAGTTTCCTCTTGCTGCTGAGGGCACCTTGGAATATAAGGGATGCTGGGAATCTCCATCTTAGCCTCTAGCCGGGGAGTGGCTTGCCAACTTTCCAGATGTGGAGGCAAGAGACCAAGGCCCATCACGGTAATACACTGACTGGCTATCTCCAGACACCTCTCCCTCCCCCCGCCCCCGGAGATGGGGTGCACAACACACAGAGTTCCTAGTTGAGCTTCACTTTAAACGCAGCTCACAAACAACTGTTTCTTAGAACCTGTGATTGCTGAGGCTAGTGAAGAGACAGGATTTAGTTGCACGAGCTGGTTGAAACTGGCACCTGAGGACTCCCTCAACCCCCTACCCCCAGTCTCTCTGCCAAACATAGCCCAGAGGCAACAGCCTAGAGCAAGCAGCACAGTGACTCAGCTCACACTGGTGTTCTGTGAGTTCTGGGACATAAACCAGAAACACTGGTAATAAGCTGGGGAGCCATAGTGGCACATGCCTTTAATCCCGGCACTTGAAGGCAGAAGAAGGTAGAACTCTCTGAGTTCAAGGCCAGTCAGCTCCACACAAATAGTTTCACACAAAAAGCCAGACAGGATTACAGAGTAAGACCCTGTCTCAGTAAAAGTAACAGTGAAAGAAGCACCTTCCAAACCCCTTCCCTACCATGGGCATTTGTACAGCTATGTACTGGGCCCAGAGTGAGGGCAGGAGTCTCAGACCTCATGCACTTGCCTGCAAAGTAGCAGGTTAAGCTCCCCAGGCCCAACCCTCAGCCCGAGTCTCCTGAGGGAAAGGCCGTGTGGCCAGAGGGGTGGACTAGCCGGCACCTTGAGGCCCTCCGGTGGCCGGGCTGTATACAGCAGGGGCCCGCGCACTGCCTGGAGATCATGAGTCGCAATGGTTGCTGCTGTCCTCTTCTCACCGAGGTCCTCATGAAGCTTCGTCTACAGACAAGAGCACAGCAGTGTGCTTCAGGGTCCCTGCTGCCCAGGGAGGCACCCACAAGGAGGCAATGGCCGGTAGTTCCCTCCCAGACTGCAAGTTTACTATCACAAAGTGTACCCAATCTGTCTCCCAACCATGTGTTTTTCTAGTCACTATCAGCCTCTCTTCTCTGTAATTCTAGAACATGGGACTTCTTTTGAGGATCTTTTATCTTAACCCATCACCTCATTCATAAGATAGCCTGAAGGTCTGCAACTAGGCCAGGCCAGGCTGGGGGCAGGGCACCACTGGCTTCCCGCCGGTGCTGCTGAGGGAGGTCTCAGATAGCAACTCTGGCCTTACTTGCACATGCCGTACTTGTCTCTGCGAGGCATAAACACAAAGATGTGCTTTTCATTCCTCAGCAGAAGCCGATGCCAGAGAGACAACTTTAGCAGTGTCCTGTCAGCCAGAGCCCAGAGCTCCCATAAGAGCGTGCTGCTGACAAGAGGTCACTTAACTCATCATCATTTCCCTGCTTCTTTTTCTGGCTTTCTTCTTCGGTTTTTTGAGACAGGGTTATTCTGTGTAGCCTGGCTGTCCTGGAACTAGCTCTGTAGACCAGGCTGGCCTCTACCTCACAGAAACCCACCTGCCTCTTCCTCCCAGAGTGCTGAGATTAAAGGTGTGAGCCATTAACTTGGCTGGCAGTGAACCTTCTACACCCTAAACCAGGGCCTGCTATGCTACCACTGAAGCAGGGACACTGAGGCACAGAGACCACCTTGCGTCTCCTGTCTCCGACTTGACTGCTAGCCCCAGCAGCATACCCAGCATTTATTCCCCAAATCTGTCTGCTATATGCATGCCCACCCCAGCATGCAGCACCCACCAAGTAAGCCTGCTGCATGCATGCCTACCCTAGCATGCAGCCACGTCTGTCTGCCTTGTATCCACCTCCAGCATGCAGCCCCAAGCCTGCCTGCTGAGTGCCCACCTGGGAGTTGAGAAAGCGCCGGAGTGCATTTCCTGGCTGCAGGTCCATGCCTCTCACAACGGCCCCCACGATGTATGGGCGCACATCCCTGACCTCCGGGCTCACCCTGACTGTCAGGGGTGTGGGGTTCTCAGAGACATGCAAGACCTTGAGCATCAGTCTGGCTGAGTCAGCTATCTCCTCTTCAACCTCCCCGCTTTCCCGACGCTGCTTCCGCTCCCGCCTCTTCTTTCTGTCCTCCTTCTCGGAGCCCTCTTGCCGGCCCTTGCTCCGACCGCCGCGGCCACCAGCACGCAGATACTCTAGGATGGACTTGGTCTGGCAGCCACCCACCATCTTCTCCAGCCGCTTGTCCCGAAGCCTGTTTCCTCGAAAGTTGATCTCTTTGAGTTTAGGGCAGTCTGCCAGCTCGGTGGGGATCTCAGTCAGTTGGTTGTTAGAGAGGTCCAGTGTCTAGAGGGAGAAGAAGAGAAGAATCAGGCTGCCCAGGTCTGCGCAGGTAGACAACAAGCTCTCCTGTGGCCCAGCCCAGGAGCCGCAGCCAGGCTGCCCCATGAACTACCTGCACGGCCATAATTGCTTATTGCCTGGGCCCCTCTCCCCTTCCTCAGGCCACAGAGGCTAGCCACTTCAACATGTCAGGCATGCACGCAGTCTGGATCAGCGGGGAGGAGGTCAGCAGCAAGCTGGGTGTCACAGAGACAGATGCTGCCCTGCCTTATACAGCAAGTGTCTAACTCAGGGAGCCAATGAGTCCAATGAGCTTGCTTAGAGAATGTGGACAAGGCTTATTTACAGGAATGTGAGTGACCTCAAAGCAGCCATACTTCTACAAAGAATCAACACAGCATGGATGGTGCTTCCTCATCGCTGGCTAGAGGAGTGTCTGCACACACCTCCCCAGATCACAAGGCCTCACGTAATTGGGGTAGAATTGCATACAAGTGGCTAGGAGGGGCTGAGATCAGTTCCAATGACCCCCTCTCCTTCTACAAGGGACACCAATAGTCACTGAGCCCGATCTTGGAGGGCCACCACAAGCAGCAGTCATAGCTGCTCTGAGGTCCAGAGGACAGGGTTTTAAATAGGAAACCAAGAGGCATCTGCTCGGTGTTTCTTTGCCAACAGGTACCCTGTGCTGCATGCCTGGCTGGGAAGCAGTTTGAGAACCACACATAAACACTTCTTTCTAAGGGTTGGTGGGGACTCTGGTCTGCCTTGTTCTTTGCTCATCATCAAGCATCTTTCTGAAAGAGCCTGGGGGAGGTCTACAGCCACCATGGGTGTGAACACCCCCACCTCTGCACTCAGCATAGTCTAGGAACATGGGGTGTGCAAACAGAAGGATGACAGCACAGGAAGTGGACGGCTACCGAAATGCCATCTGCTCTAGACGGTGGAGCTACTCAGTCAACTTATGAAGCAAGTGAGAAGAAATCTGTTTGGCTCAAGCTGTCAGGCTGCTTGGGTGAAAAGACACAGCACAGAGGAGGGCTCCAGACATACCACCAAGATATAGTAGAAAACTATAAAAGCTAAAGGAGAAAAGCATGTAAAAGAGGGACGCAGGCCCTTGAGGAGAAAGAGGCCAGGCAACAGCAAGGCCTTCTGGGTAAAAACACAAGGTTGTCTTGCACATGTGTGTGTCTCTGCAAGGGAGCAATAGTCTGAATGCCAGCTCAGTATCTGCCTGGAGCCCTGTGAGGACAGAGACAAAAAGATGAAAGAGGTCAGTGGGTCCTGCCACACATAGCCATAGGGTGAAGCACCCTTCATCTGATGCTTGCTCATGTTCAGCCAGCCCTTGGTGCCTCGAGTGGCATCCTTGTCATGGGCCGGGAGCTGGGTTCGAGGTGTGCTGGGTAAGCAAGGATGGGAGGGCAACAGCAGCAGAGGCTCAAGCAGGGCATGTGGGCTAGTGCTGGCCTTCCAGTGCCTATAGGAAGCTGTGAATGGCTGTGCTTGGGGCATCTAGGTACCTTGCAGGATAGGCTGAACTTCCAGCACAACACAAACCCCACCCAGTTCAGTGACAGGTGGGACTGCCTCTGCTGGGAAAGGCAGCACAACATAGTGGTCAGAGCAATGTGAGATGGCGTGTGTGGGAGACACGCAAGGACCACCTCAGTGTCAGACACCACAGTCAATGCCTGCTGGGTGGATCACCAGGCCCCTAAGTCAATCTGGCTACCTGTGGCTATAAGTGAGATTCAGAGCTTAGGGAGGGTTTATTTAGCCCAGGTTCTCTTGCAGAGAGAGGCTCTGGTCCCTGTGTGAGCTAAAGGGAGGGAGCAATCCTCGGCCAGGGGAACCTCCATGGGGGGTCTTTAATGACTACGGTGCTGTCCTGCCCACTGCTGCAGTCTTAGCTGGAGCGCACCGAAGGCCCGTGGAGTCAGGTGTGGTAGCAGCTCTTGGGTAAGGACCAAGGTTCCTGTGTTTGAGTCTCTCTTCTGGAAGTGCAGAAAGAAGTGGAGGTCTTGGTACCATTGCCTAGGGCCTAATCACATGCTTGTCTATGTTGGGCTTTGCTTTCCTAACCGTGGAACGTGGTTTAGTGGCAAGCTGACAATGATGCTTCGAGTTGCCAGGTGAGGAGCGAGAGGTCCCAAGAGAAGATACATAGGCAACAGCCAGCCAGCTCAGCCCAGTGTCAGCTAAACAGCCACTGAAGTAACTGGCAGGAAAGGCAGCTGAATCAATTCTCGAAGTCAAAAAGGTCAGTGGGTGAAACAAGACAGGCACCATATTATAAGAGCCGCCAGCCTCCTGGAAAACTGAAACATCTGCTGCAAAGAAAGGCAGGGCAGTGTACTTCCTGTGTCCTACCTAAGCCATGGGGAGGCCTACCACCTAAAGCACCCTCCAGGAGATGCCAAAAAACAGGCTTCATCTGCAGAGTGGCCCGCCCACATCCCACTTCTCTCTAAACATACACACACACACATACACACACCACACAGACACACAGACAGACAGACACACACACACACACACACACACACACGACTCACACACAGAGCACACAGCCAAGTCTTTAAATCTACATAATAATCATAGAGGCATATTTGCAAAGTGAACTCTGATCTCTCAAGAGCAAATTAGCTTGCAATCCAGCTGCTATGCTTATCTACCTTCATCAGGAAAGGTCTGCATAAACTCTAGGATGAGAAGCAGAAGACACAGACCTGCCCTGCCAAGAACGCCGAGGGTAGGGAGAGGGAACAATGGACACAGTCAGGTGGCCAGGATGTGACTAAGCGACCGTGGAGACCCTAGGCTGCAGTCAGGTCCCCTGTGGCTTTGCATCTTCGCTTTCCCGTCACTCACTTAACAGACAATGAGCACCTGGTGGGCGTCGAGCATGATGGGAGTCTGGGACCACAAAGCACAAGAAACCAGTCCCTTTCACAAGGCAGTCCCGAGGAAAACTCTAGGTGTGTTGTTGGCTTTGGGTAAGCACTTCGGCTTTCTATGAAACAAAAGCCTCGACCCCGACCAACCTCGGATGAAGGCTGTTGTTAAGAGTGAATATTACATAGCCCTCAACCCGCCGCCCAACGCCAAGTCCTGTTCTCTTCTGTTTTTTTTTTTTTTTGTGTGTGTGTGTGTGTGTGTGTGTGTGTGTGCTTTGCGTGGATGCTCCGCCATTTGGAAACCCGATCAGCTTACAATTATACACACAAAACTAGACCTGGCTCCCTGCTCTTGGACTCCTTCCCACGTAAGAAACCCAAGACTGGTAACTTTCAAACTCACACGTCCGGAGACCCTTGAGTACAAAGGTCCGAGAAGTGAGCTGAGATGGACCGGCTGCACAGGCAAAGACATCCTCCAACACCTCCAAAGAGGGACAGCAGGACGCGTCCCCCGCCCCTCGAGCCCCACTGACCTTGAGCGAAGCCAGGTGCGCGATGTCTGGGCTCAGCTCCCGCAGACAGTTGTCAGCAGCTGCCAGCTCACTGAGCAGGGGCAGAGCTCCTGGCCGGAAGAGCTCGGCGGGGAAGGCGTCCAGGCAGTTGCCGGTGAGGTTGAGGCTCTGCAGGCGAGGGGCGCAGCGGGCCAGGTCGGAGGGCAGCTCGCGCAGGCGGTTGCCGCTGAGGTTGAGGCTCTGCAGCTGCGGCAGACCGGGAGGCTCGGCGGGGCCCAGGCCCTCGCCCGGCGGCAGCGCCTCCAGCGCGTTGCCCGACAGGTCGAGCACGCGCAGCGCCGGCAGCGGCCCCAGCTCCGGGCTCAGGCCGGGACCCAGCGCGTTGCGCCGCAGCACCAGGCTGTGCAGCTGCGGCAGGCCCTGCGCTAGGCCCGGCCCGGGTGCACGCAGGCTGCCGCAGCCGCTCACCTCGAGGTAGTGCAGCAGCGGCAGCGTGAAGAGCCGCGGCGGTAGCCGCCCGCCCGCCGCCTTCACCCGCTCCTCCAGCCCGGGTCCGGTCAGCAGCAGCTCGCGTCGACGCTCGCGCTCCGCCAGCTCCAGCTCCGGCCAGGCCTCGGACATTGTCATTGCCGCCGCTGCCGCCGCCATCGCACCGCTTCCGGAATGCGGGGCCTTACTTCCGGCGGCCGACGGAAATGATCATAGAGAGCACCTTCGCTCGCCAGGGCGTCACCGCGCGGGAGTTTGTGGGACGGATGAGTGGAGCCACTCTCTCTTAAGCCTCACTGGGGCTGTCTAGTGTGCCTACTGGGAATCCTAATAGGCTATGGTGGCCAGCTTTCCGACCATCCAGATACCAATGAAGGACACGATTATTCTGGGGATGTAGCTTCATTAGCAGAGCGCTTTTCTGGAATGCGTGAAGCCCTAGTTCGATTCCCAGCACATCATAAATGGGGCATGGTGGTGTGCTCAGCCTGTCAAGGCAAGAGGATCATTTGTTCAATGACATTCTAGGCTTACAGCAAGTTTGAGGCCAGCCTGGGCGACAAGAACATATTTCAAAAATAATAAAAGAGACAGACAATGAAAAATAAAGATTGAGTAAATATAGCATACTGGGATGAGGGAAACGAGATAAAGGGCTTCAGGGTACTGCTAGGAGCCTTAGATTTAACTAGAGGAAGATTTGGGATGGGCAACAGGAGGTAATCCGGAAACACATGTCAGTCCGGTACTGGGAGCTTGGGAGCCAAGGAGCAGTCTTGGGACAAGGTATGATCTAGCCACCCTAAATATGTTCTGGCTCTGCAAGGTGATCCAAAAAGTTGAGGTTGTAGCTGCTGCTTTCCTTACAAGACAGAGCTATCACGTTTCCATGGGAACTAAATGCTCCAGGGCGGGGCCTAGTGGTCAGAAATAATGAACAAGGACAAGACTCTAGATCGGGACTGGCATGTATCACCCCACGATGTGCTCCAAGTATTGCCTCTCTTTGACCTTCACTTCTCACCGGACGGTCTTGACCTGCCAGCCGCCCAAGTAATGAATGACACAGAGACTTATTAATATGAAAGCTTGACCTTAGCTTAGGCTTGTTCCCTGCTAGCTAGTTTAACTTAAATTAACCCATTTATGCTAATCTGCATTCTACCATGCAGCTCATTACGGCTCCTCAGAGCCAGCACCTGTTTCTCCCTCCATGCCTGGCTGGTGAATTTAGTGCCTGCTTCTTTCCCAGCCTTCCTGTCTCTGCCAGATGTCCTGCCTAGCCTCTCCTGTTTTGCTATACACCATTCGGCTCTTCATTAAACCAATCAGAAGGTGATGGAGAAGGTATTTACAAAACACTGAGACAGGTGATGCTTCATAAAAATAACAGTATCAAAGTCTGGCCTGTTCTCTAATCTCTGTTACAGCAAGCAGAATTTGAACAATACAAAGACAACCCTCACACACTCACAAGAGATCATCCCAATATCGTCCTCTTTTAGTCCAATAAAAGGCTGCTTCTTTAACATTAATAAAATATATACAATAAGAGCAGTTATGAAAACTATCAGGTAAGAATTATATTCACAATGCCTAGTCCATTTGTATTTGGCAACTTTGGAGAAAGTAATCCATTATCTGTCCTATCTGGGTGAGTCCAAAGTTATATACTTAAATCATTTTGCATCATAACTTGCTTTTACCAACTTAAAAGCATCTTTTTAGACCTTAAAACATTTTCTTAAATCTTAAACAACTTAAGCATATATCTGAAACTATAACAATCTACTCAACACCACCAGAGACTTGAGCAAAATAAATATTAGCCCAGTAAACAGGAAATGTGTAAACAGGGAGTACAGAACAAGCTGTTTCCAAAACTGTAGAATTGATAGAGACTGATGGCTGCCTGCACAGTCACCCAAGATTCTATGTTATGCTGTACAGGCCATTCAACTGGCCTGCCCTCAGGGGCCTTTAGGGTCCTGACAACATCCTTTGTCACCACCTGCGTCCTACACCTAACACCAGCTGATTGGTGAGTCTTCCCTTCTTGTTGGTGTAAACATTCTCCTTTGTCCAAGAGACTAATTGTTGATCCTCTGGCATTTCTCCAGTTCACTGTCGAACAGACACCCCCACTCACAGCCTTCAAGGATGTGGTTAGGTCCTCTCACTTATCCTCATACAGACACCTTCCCTTGGGTGAATAATCTTTTTCTATAGACACAGTTTCTGGCTTTTCTTGTGCATTGAAAATCCTAGTACTAGGTGAGGCCGTGTCTTTCATCTGCCACGTGGCCCCTGGCACAGCTGTGACAACCTGCTCTGCCAGATTGTGCCATCATGTTTCTGGTTCTCTTGTATTTTGTGGGGATGCGCCAAAGTCTGACAGAACTAACTTTTCTCTCTTCACCCATGGGAATCTCGTCTTCCACTGCACCTCCCGGCTCTCCTCTGGGGTGTTTCCTACATAGTGTCTGATCCCTACACCTAGTGCCCGCTTTAAGGGCTTCCAAGCTCACATGCCTCTGAAACCAAACTTGGCCTCAGTAGTCCTTAGATGAGGGACCCAAAACAAGACCTTTTCAATTACGGTCAGAGATTGAGTAAATGAAGGTTCTCACATTCGAGGTTTTTCTCTTCTTTGCTCAAATCTTCTCACTCTCCCAAAAGTTTGAAATGTACACCTAAAAGGAATTTTCTCCTTAATCTACTCAAATGTATCTCTGCCCTTATAATTGCCAGTATCCTGCCAGACACGAGCGGTTCTTACATCCAGGACAGCGCCAAACCAGCTGTCCAATCTAACTTTGCAGACTTCATCAGGCCAGACCTGCACTTTCCCTCCCAGCCATGGATGTTCTCACAGACCCTGGACAGCATCAAAACAGCCTACTCTTCCTGGACTTGGCCAATATTTCAGCCTTTTGTCCATTTATTACCAACAAAAGGCTGGAATGCTGTGCTTCAGACCTGGGACAAACCATTCCAGGTTCTCCCAGCATTCCTCAGTCCCTATCTGCTGCTGGACATGGCTGGTAAACCCCACCGTCTACCCAGAACTTTCCGGGCAGGAGCTTGCCCTCATCCTCACCTTGTAATCCGGACATTTTGGTGTTCTTACTTTTTTCTTGTCCTCTCTCTTATCCGCTTGCATGGTGACCAAGAGCTGCTTCCAATGAAACTACATTTATACACTTTAACATGCCTTAGATGAGAAGTTCAACATCCTCATTCCCACCTCATCACTCCACCCTAGCTCCTCATTTTTAAAAATTAAGCAAAAAGGAGGGAATGTTATGTTGAATAGCAGATGGAAGAGGCTGCATACCTCATGGCAGCCAGGAAAAGGAGAGCAGAGTGAAGAGGAGGGAAGAGAGGTGACAGTAGAGGCATCCTGTCGTGGCTTAAAGAATGCTGACTCAAGGCCGATCTTTGGTTAGTTCTCTCTGGAAACACACCCCACAGACATACCCAGAATGTGCCTTACAAATCCAAGTGCATCTCAGCTCAGGCTAATTCACAATGGAGACTGTCAGCGAGGTTCTCCGTGCTCACTGAGGCTGGACTGTGTGACCAACAAGGTGCTGCACAGAGGACAGGATGTCTTCATGTACCATACAAAACATTTGTTCCATGGATCCCTTGTTTTGGGGACATTTGTGTGGGTCCCTTGAGCAGTCTTCAGGCTCTGTTTCTGTCCTGGCCCAGGCCTCCCACCTGCGGTAAGGAGGCCGTACCATCCACTGAGTGACCACTTGAGCTTCCCAGGATGGTCTCTGTCTTAGGGTTTCTATTGCTGTGAAGAGACACCAGGACCACAACAGCTCTTACAAAGGAAAACATTTAATTGGGTCTGGCTTACAGTTCAGAAGTTTAGTCCATTATCATCACGGTAGCAAACAAGACATGGTGCCGGAGAGTAGCTAAGAGAGTTCTACATCCAGATCAGCAGGTGGCAGGAAGAGAGAGACACTGCACCAGGCTTGAGCTTCTGAAACTCTGAAGCCCAACCCCTGTTGACACACCTACTTCAAAGCTACATCTCCAATAACGCTACCCCTAAGAGTCTTTGGGGGCCATTTTCATCCAAACCATCACAGTCTCTTTTTCCCACTCCCAGACAGACTTTCTCAGTGGCCCGGGAGAACCCCATCCTTGCAGAAGCCCTTAACCCTTTAACCAGGGTCTTACATAGAGGTAGCTCTTTTGGAGTCATGGAAAGAGCCCAGGAATTTCACTCAGAGCAGGAGGGGTGTTGTCTACCACTAAGGTCTCAAGGTGTACATCTGGGAATTCTTGCTGTGGGCATGGTAGCACAGGCTTGGAATATCAGCACGGAGAAGGGAGGCAGGAGGGTCAGAAGTTCAAGGTCATCCTCAGTTACACTGTGAGTTTGAGTTTACCCTTGGCTATGATGAGACATTTGTTTTTTTAAAGCACCTCTTTAAAACGATGCCTTAAGCCTGTCTATTTGTCTTCTGGGACTGCAAAATTAGTGTGTTATATAGGTAAGCTTTGACTCACCGCTCCTCGGCAAAAAGGAAATACGTTGAATGTAATGCTGTGCCTCACCTTGAGAAGTCTCAGGTGTTGCGGATTCGCTCTACAGGGTGAGTTCTCTGTCCTGCCCGCAGCTTAGCATTCAGCTTTGTGGCAGTAAACTTATTCTGACAGACTGTGACCTGCAGCCCTTGCCAGCGACTGCAGATACCACAGGACTCTGAAGTCAGAGCACATTCTCTGTCCTGCAGGTAAACTCATTTTAAACACTGCTGTGAAGACCCAGCTTTCCCAAGCATCTCTCCGCAGCAAACACTAAGGGCCGAGCTGCTCTCACGACGAACGTCAGCGTGATTTACAACAGCCTCCCCTCCCCTCCTTCCCCTCCTTCCAGGTTGGGCTGCATGTAGCCCAGGCTGGCCTCTAATTCACATGTAGCCAAAGGATGACCTGGAACTTGGGATCGCCTGCTTCCAAACAACAAGTGCTGGGAGACCGACCCTTGGGCTTCATGCACACTAGTCGTTGAGTGACAGATGCCTCCAGCCCACCAGCTGCTTGCTCCTTAATTACCACTCTGAGCTGGACATGGTGGTGCTTGCCTTTACTCCTAGTACTTGGGAGGCAGGGGTGGGTGGATCTCTGAGTTCAAGGTCGGCCTGGTCTA